CTGCAGCAGCAGCAGCGCCGCTGCCCACGCGAACTCCGCCGGCCGCTGCGCGCGGACCGCCCCGGCCTCTGCCAGCCACTGCGCCACTGTGCGCTCCGGCACCTCCGTCGCCAGCGCGGCAGGGCCTCTCCAGGGCTCCGCGGGCAGCGCACCCTCGGGTAAAGGGCCGCACAGGCCCTGCAGGTTGAAGTGCGGGGGCAGCGAGGCCTGCAGCTCCAGGCCCCACGGGTCAGGCACCTCGGATCCTGACTTGGGCACCTGCGGGGCAGAGGGGCCGTCAGAGCGTCGGTCAGTGATCCCTAGCCAACCCGAGGTCCCACCTGTCCCAAAGCCTTGGAGCCCAGGGAGCCCACCCGGGAAGCGTCCCCCCTAGGGCTTGGGGTGTGAGGCCGGCAGCTCCGCCACAGAAGCGACAGCTTCATGAGCGTTCAGACGTTCGTAGCCAGGGTGACCTCGGCCAGCCAAGCCCGGAGGGTGATGTTCAGGTCGGAGCTTCCTGTCGGCTTGCAGCCTGGTTCTTATTTCAATTTCGTTTTTTCAGTTTTTGGTGCACGCATTCCCCAGAGATGAGGAAATGGGAAAGCACCCCAGGGGGCGATGGCCTCACTGCAATTCGGGGTTTCAGGCAGGTGCGCCTGGCATGTTTTCCAAGCTGCTGGGTCTGGGACTTGAACCACGGAGTCAGCTACATGATATCCAGCTGCCTGAACCACCATGCCACCTGGCTGGCCCCCTGTGGGGGCACTTACTGGGGACTTGGTAAGGAGGAGAAGGAGGCAAGTCCCCAACCCGGCCACCCACGAGGAATGCGAAGGACCTCTGCCATTTAGGACCTCCCAGGAGCCACAGTGGGGAGGTTTAGAAGAGCCAGCTGAGAGTAATTGTAACGATCTGACCCCGCCCAGTACACCTGAGCTATCACCAGACGTGCTGGGGGGTCCCCATAGCCTAGTGGTTACGGGAGCCAGACCCCCTCCAGCTCACGGTGGTTTGAACCCCACCCTGAGAGGGCGGTGCGCCCCACATCCCGGCATGACCACACCCACTGGTGCTTCCTCCCTGTCCCCACCTCCCCTCTGTCCGTCTGTTCTGGCATGGTAATGTCACCGGGGTCACACGGGAAATGCTCCGAAACCCTCGGGTCGGGGACAGGGAGCGCCTGGTCTGCCGTGCTGGTTATTGTCCCGGCTATTCTCCGAGGCCTCCCAGCCTGAGCATGGACTCACCAGAACCCGAGAGTCGCGGGTGGGGTTCTGGCCGGCTCCAGGTGGTGGGCAGGTCCCCCACGCCCCAGAGCCGGCCCCAGGGTGGCTGGGCTGACTCACGCCCGTTTCGCAATGAAGCCCAGACGGAAGAGCCCTGTGGCTTTGTGTAAGCGGGGACATGGCCGCTGGGGGGAGGCCGCCGTGAGTGGCCACAGCAGGCTCACCTTGGCCGCCAGGATGTGCCACGCCTCCTCGTCCACGCGCACCACGCGGTAGTAGAAGGCATCCCCGCTCTCCACGCAGGGCGCGCTGTCCAGGAGGCGGAAGCCGTGGCCGGGGAGGCAGGGGCCCGGGCGGCCACCCAGGAACCGGGCACGGAGCCGGGCGTGGATGGCGCGGAGCCCCTCCAGCTGCCGGGCAGCCAGTGCGGCATGTAGGGCCTCTGGGCTATGCAGGTCATGCAGTCGGAGGCCCAGCTCGGCGTCGAGCTCCAGGGCCAGCCTGGCTGGGGCGCAGGTGGGCCCTGCCTCTGCTTGGCTCTCGTCCACACTGAGGGACCCCACGAGGGGCCTCCGAGTCTGCCCTCCTCGGCCGGCGCTGGGGCTGGGCGCCCCGCGGTTGGGCAGAGACTGGGTCCGGGTTAGGGTCTTCTTGGGCAGGGGTGGGGGCAGGGGCTGCGGGGTGGCGGAGGGGGACCCAGGGGTCCGGGGGCGGCCGGCCTTGGAGGGCAGCAGGTGGGCACGGACCTCACCTGTGGGGGCAAGGGGGCGAGGGCGTCCACCTGTGACCCCGCTTCTGGGGCTGCCTTCCGGGGTGCGAAGCGAAGGTGCCCGCGGGGAAGGGTGCCCCCCACAGCCAGCGGGCTCAGGGGCGGAGCAGTCCACCAGGAGACCCTCTCCCCAGCCCCTCCCTGCCCCTCAGGTGCATGACAGCCACCGCCCCAGCCCTGCCGTCCCTGCCAGGCCCCCGGGGTCTGCTCACCGAGGTTGATGTAGGTAGGCTGGGTCCGCCCGGTGGGGCCGTCGGGCTCTGGGCTCTCCGAGGGCGGCTCAAGGCTGCCCATGCTGCTGGGCAGAGGTCAGCCAGGTACCGCGAGTGAGCCGGGGTGAGGGGGCCCAAGTGCCCGGGGGAGGCCGCGAGGCTCCCCTCCCAGACCAGCAAGCCCCTCCTCTGCTGTTCGCCCAGGGCCCTCGGCCAAGAAAGGGGCTCCCTAAGAGCCTCGCTCCGTTGTGTGACCCCAGGTGGTTTCGTGGTTTCTTTTCTTTTTTTTTTTTTTTGGAGAGGTTTCTGCTATAGGGCGCGTGCGCTTGCCAGAGAGACAGAGAGAGACAGAGAGACAGAAAGCGAGAAATCACCCCCAGGGGGGATGGCCACGCCGCAATCCCTTCTCCTCCATTCTCCTCTCGGGATCTTGGGCATGCATGCACACGCGCCCAGTGTCAGTTTAAGCCACCGGGTCTGGGACTCGAACTGCAGTCGACCACATGGGAGTCCAGCGACATAGCCATTATGCCAACTGCTGGTCCCACCCCAGGCGGTTTCTTGCCCTCTCTGGGCGCAGTGCAGTACCCGTGAGAGGAACACCACCGATCCATCTTTCAGGCCACTCGGCAGGTCTCAGTGCATGCTCAAAACAGGGACGAAATGTCCAGCCCAGAGGACAGGCCTGCGGGGGACAAGTGGGACTGGCAGTGGCCCTGATACCCAGCCCCTAGACCCTCCTGGCTACAGCAGCTGCCCGACCTGGCGAAGCTGCCCCAGGAGCCCCTACCTTCGGGACCAGAGGGACGTCCGGGAGGGACCCAGGGCGCGACCTCCCAGAGGTGGCCTGGCGGCAGGGCAGCAAACAGGAAGAGTCTGGGCAACTGTTGGACCGCAGGCGTGTGGCAGGGTGGGGCCTCCCGCATCACTTCCCCTGCACCCTCCAGGCCAGCGGAGGCGGGGACAGAGTGGGGCCCCCAGGACCGATGGGGCCCGCATAGCGGGGGTGGGGGGATTCCAAGTCTCCGAGGCCATGCTGGGTATGCCGGGGAGCCCTGCGAGGTGGGGGCCACCCGGGAACCCCGACTTCCGGGGAGGGCAGAGGGCCCAGCAGTGGCTGTGAGGGACAGGCAGCCCCTCCCTCTGTGGGTTCGTGCCCCAGCCCCCTTCCCCTTGGCTGGGCCACCTGGGAGGCCACAGGTCCTTTGCTCGGCCCTAGAACCGCACGCCGAGTGAGGGCCCTTCCAGCTCTGTTCAGCCCTGCTGTGTGACCGTGGGCGCAGGGCCAGCCCGCTCTGTGCTCCAGCCAGTCGAGAAAAGCACCTCCACACCCCGACTCGGAGCAGCGCCCGTGGCTTTCTCGTGTGTGGTCCTGACTGCCGGCCTCCTACCCCGCCACCTCCGTGGCTTTGTTCAGAAGAGACTCTGGCGTGGGACAGCCCAGTGGCGTGGCGGGCAAGCCGCTGAGTCCCTGAATGGAGGTGAGCAACGTGCCAGGTGGGGC